AATGCTCCTTGGAAGCAAGAATGGCCAGACTTCGTCTCACCTACTTTGGTCATGTTGTAAGAAGGGACCATTCCCTGGAGAAGGATATCATGCTTGGTAGGGTGGAGGGTTGACGAAAGAGGGGGAGGCCTTCAACGAGATGGACTGACACGGTGGCTGTGATGATGGACTCAAGTATAGCAGGGATTGTGAGGCTGGCGCGGGATTGGGCAGTGTTTCATTCTGCTGTGCATGGGGTCGCTATGAGTTGGAAACAACTCGACGGCACTTAACAACAACAACATCCAATGCAGAGGCTCAAAATGAAACCACTATCCTTGATCTTTTCCTTTTCCTTCTCTCTCACATCTGATCCATCAGTACATGATGTTCCCCCTTCCTCTGTAACACATTCTAGAGACCACCCACATCTCTATGTCCCCTCTATCACACTACCATCACCTCTCTCCTGGATTCTTAAAATCATCCCCTGGCTGGTGGCCAATTTTAATCAACTCTACACTGCAATCAAGTGATTCTTTAAAGCTCTTGTCATTCCCCAACTTAAAATTATCTAATGACTTCCCATTATTCGAGAATAAAGTCTAAATTCCTTGATTTCACTTAAATCTCTTCCAATTTGGCCCCTGCGTATTTTATGGTTTCATTCCCCTTCACTATGTTCTAGCCACACCGAGCTACTCAAACATGCCAGCATGATTTAAATATCAGGCCTTTGTAGTGGCTGTTTCCTCTGTTGTCCCCTTCATCATCTTTCCATGGATGGCTTATGTTCATCATTCAGCTCTCAGATTATCCTTCCCCAAAGACATCTTCCTTGACTACCAGTCACTTCCCATCATTCTACCCTATTTTTAATTCTCTACATTGCACTTGTCATCATATGATACTGGTTTCCTGTCCCCTCCTTCTATAATTTGAGCTCTATAAGATACTGTCTACGTGTTCACCATTTTAGTCTTTGACATACAGCAGACACAATAAATATTTGATGCATAAATGAAGATAAAGACCAAAAGAGGGAGAAGAAATGAGAATGTGTGTAAAACAGGTGCTCTAAAATACATTAGAGTAATTAAGAGGAAAAGACGTTAACAGGAAACTTCCCAGGCTCTTGCAATTTCACACCCTAGATTTTCTTCCAGTAACAGAGTAAGGTTCTCAAGACTGTGTGTGTGTGTGTGGCTCGTGGCCAGTACATCTGTCCTAGGCTACTCCCTCGACCTTGCCATGCAAGCATCTGCTTAATTTCAGACTTCTGAAATGGTGGCTGGTGAATGCCTGACCTTCCTGGCCTTATATGTTCCTGTTTTCTCTGATCTTGCACTGCCATCTTCATTGTGGCTGAGGGAGAAGTCCTGCCTGACCCTGACACAGACACAACAGTTCGGGGCACCCACCAATTTCCTCTTGAATTTCTTCGGCTACGTAAGGAACTTTGTAGAGCAGAGAGAGACTTTGGTTCCGTCTTTCTTCAATCACATGGAGATGTGTCATCACCTGGAAGTATAGTTAGAAGAGAGACCTCATCACTGAAAACAACCAGGCCAGGAGGGAGGGACACTTGCAGATAGGACATCCCCATACACTTCCAGACCAGCTGAAGATGTACAGCTGAAGAAGTATACTGTCTACAGAGTCCAGCAAAGCAGCTAGTTAGATAAAACATGTTGTGTATATTCCCCATGCCATACTTACTGACCACTAAAGTGTTTAAAATGGGTTCAGACTGTGGATAACACTCCTGGGTGACCTGATAATTTGTCTAGCAAGTGCTCCAAACTAAAAGAAAATTAAATAAAAATTTTTCACTAGTTAGTTTTTGATTCTCTTTCATGAGGCACTTACGAACTGCAGGGTTCTTTAAAAGAACACTGAATTATATAATACCAGACACTCAATAGGTTTTGCTAAAAGAGGGAGGACTGGTCAATTTTCACCACTTATCAGATTAGATGGGATTAAAAAAAGCCAGAAATCACTGGCTAAAAAGTACAGTGGAGGGGAGGGAATCAATCATGCATTTTACTTAATGAAAAATCAGCTAAAAATGGTTGTGGTGAATAGTAAAACTATTTTACTTTATTTAACTAAATGACATTATACTTTCAAAAACTGATCCTGAGGCATAAATTATAAACCTGACTTTTAAGGTGGTGAAAAAGGAAAGACTTTTCTACCATCTGTCCTTCTATAGCTTGAAGGTTGTTCATCTAAAAAAAAATAAATAAATAAATAAAAAGGCACCAGTGGTCTCACTTAAGGAACCCTGGTGACACAATGGTTAAGCATGTAACAGAAAAGTTCACAGTCTGAACCCATCAGTGGCCCTGTGAAAAGAAAACACCAGGTGATCTACTCCAGTAAAGATCAGTCTAGTAAACGCTATGGGGCAGTTCTCTGTCCTATACGATCATTAGGAGAGTTGACTTGATGGTATACAACAAAAACTGGCCACTTTTAAGCTTTTAAAAGTGACACTGGAAGGCTTATTGGGCAAACATCTACCCTAACTGAGGCATGCTGCTGCAGCTCATACAACCTTTTCAAAACTAAGCTGTTCCCAACTGGCTAGACTTGTAGCTACTGAGCTTTTCCTAAAGAGGGAGTTCTAAGCCAATGGATTTAATTATGTGGTCTTGAAGCCATTATGTGGAAATCAAAATGGAAAAACTTAAATGGAAAAATGCTTTTTATTGTAGATTGATGCCTCTCTGACCTTTAAAAGAAAGGAAGAAAGCAATTTAATCTTATATTTGCCATTCTATCAATCACACAAATTAATGGGAAAGCACAAGAGTGTGTGCTTGGGAGAAAAAATGCGAATGAAAACCAAACTATACCACCCGTACTTTAGCATGTGTTGACCCTGTTATGCTTCTTCACATGAATTAAGGAGTCATTTGAGATGGGATGGTTTGTATACTGGGTAGAATACTGCAAATTAGTGCCTTCATTGTGAACCCTGAGCTATAGCTATGAAGCGGGTAAAAAGCCCCGTGTCACTTATGTCTAGGCAACCAAATAAGGTACATGTTGTAACAGGCTGCATATATTCAGGTTTTTCTAGAGTTTAGATAACAGAAAAGATAACAGGCAAAAGGTTAAATGTAATTTAATAGCCAAGGTTCACTAGAAGACAGTAAATATCATACAGTCCAGCTGCATTATCCCCCTGGGGATTTTCTCAGATGGAGGGCTCTACTTCCCGTGTTCCTTGGTGTGCCACTTTGATCTTGCTTCCAGCTAACTGATCTCCAGTTATTAATTAAATATACTGATCAAAGTTTTTTCCCTTCCCTTCTCTCTTACCACACGAACCAGTGTTTTTTTTTTTTTTTAAATACAACACAATAGTCTAGTTTTTCAACTGAAAGCATGAAAAAGATTTTTTTTTTTTTTTTTAAATCAAGTAGAACTGAAAACTCTAACTCCTGTACAGACGTATGCATTTTTCTATTCAATCTTCCTGGAAGCTACTCTAGGACTCTTGCCCTTTTCTTCTCTTATTTGTCATCTAGCTTAAAAACAAGCCTCAAGCTCCAGGACCATTCTCTATGCCTTCTAGGAACTCAAGACCCACCTACTTCCTGCATTCTTCTTAACTCTTTAGGAGTTTGATGTCTTTTATTCCATAACACATCCAATTTCCAAGCTAACCTCTGTATGTCTGACAACTATTCTTCATCTTTCATAGTTAATAAAATTAATTCTATGCTACATTACTCAAGGGCACAAGGGATTCAGGTTTGTATCATCAGATGTCAGTACAGAGTTTGACATATAGATAGTAGGCACTGAAACTTTTGCTCAACAATAGAGCAATAAATTCAGCTCTAATATTCCTAAGACATCTAGGAAGATTATCTCATAACCATAATAGAAACATAAGAAGCAGTCTTTGGAAATCAAAAATCATTTTCTATGGACTAATAACAAGCACAACTACCAGCACCATCCCAACAGTCTCTCTCCAATACTGCCAAGGCAGCAATTTCTATGACATTTACTGTACCTGGGATTTCATCTGGGCTGCCTTTTCTGGATCAACAGCCAACACATGCTGATAATGACGGATGGTATGAAGGCGGTCTTTGTTCTCAGCACGGACATAACGCCGCAAGGCCTGAAGGATGCGATGAGGCTACAAGAGAGAAAGCAGCTGTTTTAATATCCAGATCAAAACAATTTATTACATCCAGATTATTTTAGAGTCCAAAACAGGCAGGGAAACATAGTTTAAAAGACTCAATAATAGAGCTCATTTAGGTACAAGAATGAAAGCTGTAGTTTCAAAAGTTTTTAGCTTACTAAGTAATAAGAAGTTACCTTTCTAGGTAAAATACCAAAAATTAAGTTGCAAAGTTATATTGACTCCTTGTTGTTGTTGTTGTTATTTGCCGTCGAGTCAGCCCCGACTCATAGCGATCCCTCCTTGGGTTTCCGAGGCAGTTATCACTACGGAAGTAGGATTGCCCAACCTTCCTTCCGAGGAGTGGCTGGTGGGTTTGAACAGCCAGACTTCTGGTTAGCAGTCAAATGCCTCAGGCACTATACCACCAGAGCTCCCGAAAGTAAGTAAATTCAATAACTGGATAATTACCAATCAATATCTCAAAGATAAAATACTTTCACATGACAAATGGTACATTCAGGCATACAATGATGATATAATGCTAAGCTTATACAATAAATAAATTCTAGAACAATATAATACTTTCTCCATAACCATCTGTCCTTACTTCAAGAATTACCAGAGCCTGTCATAAAAATGCAATTTTACAGACCTGTGTGTCACACATTGCTCCCATAAAGATACACCATTTCAGGCAGGCGACACTGAGAATACAAGTCATCAACGAGTCATCTCTGAATACAACTCACCCGTGGTGGGTCAGACTGCAAGGCAGCCAGATAATTCTCCAGAGCCATGCGACGGCGGTCATTCAGCATAGCTTCTACTCGAGCCAGGTGAGTTTCCACCAGTTGCTGCTTCTCACTAGCTGCTTCCTTCTCTAAAGCTTTAACCATGGCTTGGAAGTGCTAAACCAAGAGAGTAGGAACAGCATATAATTTGTGGTACCTAGACATCTAAGCTTGCGACTTTCAGGCCCTGATGCTTGTGAAGTGCCTATGCAAGAAGGCAACAGATTTAGAGAGATGGCACAAGGGTAAGATCAAAGCACATGTTATCTGATTTCTGTCAGTATAATTACTTTCTTATCTAAAAAGAGCAAGTTAGAGCCGAGTTTTAGAGGATTCTTTGGCATTTCTGTCACTGAAATCACTACTGCTACAAGCTAATGCCTGACTGCTCAGTGCATGGTACAGTAACAGAAATACTGCCCTTTTCACATTGTAGCAAGGCACTAGTTTCCAGATCATGAAATTATAAACCAATACAACATGTATTTATTTGTGAGCTACTTGGCCAATGTTATTAGTAGTTTAAGATTACTAAACTGAATTTCCCTACACAAGATACGCTGGTTTACAGAGAAATTAAAAATCTAGAACTGATATTCTACGCAAATGATGAAAAACAAAGGTCTTTCGATAGAGTTTTAACATTATAACAGAGGCTTTTTCACCTAAACAAACACAAACAAGTTGATTTAAAATATAATCAATTTTATGAGACCCAAATCAATCTTCTAAGTTGCTATCTCTGTTCCGTCAACACTGTCTTCTAGATAAGGGGAATGCAATTTGCTGCTATGTTTTTAAGGTGACATTCTTACAACAATTAGAGATGAATGTGTTATCAGAGAGCTTTACTTTCTGCCTCTTAACTTTTCAGTAAGTCTATAAAAAAACACACAAAAAATTCTGTCCTGCTGAAAAACAAAAATGAAGATGCAGATGCAGATGACAGATGACTCAGTATGTTACCCAGGAGAGAGGAAATAACAAATGTGGCCAAGCTAACATTACTTCTTGGCGAGAATTAGCTGTGGAGGGTTTGGTTTCCTTTACCAGAGATGAGCAATGCTAGAGAATGTTAGTTGGGAGGTGAAAAGAAAAAGCAGGCCAGTTAAAACTCCCTTGTAACACAGCCCTCAACTAAATGGAGATGTCAAATTCTAATTTCCTATAAATTTAGCTCTGATCATATTTTCAAATAGCCAATCTGGAAGCTGTGCTCCTGGAGAAGGTGTCCTACCTGAATGAGAGTCTGTCTCTCTGCTTTGGGGAGGTTCTTAGCTTGGTGCTCTGCCTCTTCCCATTCTTTCTTAACCTAGAACAAAAGTGAAAAATGAATCAGATTCTCAATGACAAAAAAAAAAAAATTATATTTAAAAACAAATAAAAAAAATACTATAATCAAACAATAACCCCCTGAAAGAATGCCTAATTTTCTAAAAATACTGCCAGACACTGAATTCAGTGTACAAAACTCTGCAAAAGGGAACTGCATCATATGACCCCTATGGGATGCAGGGCTATTGCAGTTTATTCACAGAACTACTGCCTCATCCTCAATAAGGACTCAAATGGAACCTCAATGCCAAACCTTAAGTTATTTAAAAGTCTCTGTGTCTTTGTGAAGGAGCTCTGGGAGTGCAGTGGTTAAGGCACTCAGCTGCAAACCAAATGGTTGATGGTTTGAACCTATCAGCTACCCTGCTGGAGAAATATGACACAGTCTACTTCTGTGAAGATTTATAGCTTTGGAAACTCTAAGGGGTAGTTCTACTCTGTTCTATAGGGTTGCTCTGAGTCAGAATTAACTTGATGGCAGTGGGGTTTGGTGTCTTTGTGCTCATCAAAACAATGGATCAATACTTCTCAGAATTGTTGTGGATAAAATAAAATAAGGAACATTTCCCAAAGTACTGGCATAGTACTGATGATATGTGGGATATTAGGTGGTATTCAGACAGAGCATTAAGTAACACTGCAAGGTATTCCCTTTTCTAATTTTCACTTAATCATTCTCAGCAAGTAAAGCAGAAAGTTGCAACACTTCTCTACCACTTACCTACACGCCCTTTCCAAGAAAGAGAAAACATCACTGAGACACAAAGCCTCACCAGGCAATAGTAACTAGCTAGAATTGATTAATATGTTTGTTTTCATCTAAATTTTACATTTTTACAATTACCTTCTTATGGCAAACGATACCAGCTTCCTTACAGTAGAAATACATTTTTTAAAAAGTGGGTATTGAGCTCTGTTTTACTGACACAGATGGGGTAGCCATGAGTTAGCATCGACTCAACCACACCTGGTTTTAATGGCAAAGCAAAGTAAGAAGAAAGAACATAATTGTTACAAGGTGTGCTTAGCAGAATGTCTGAAAGGTGATAAGCACTCAAAGGTTAATTATAGTACTATGGAGGCAGGGGTGGGGAAGGGTAGAAAGACTAGAAAGTCCTTATGCTCCCACATCTTACCTTTCCTAAAACAGCTAGCATGACATTCTAAGGAGATGGGGTCACTTTTCTCCAACTACAAAAACCATGTTACCCAATGCCAAATAACCATGAGGATAAAAGTAATGTCAGGATTACCCTGTCCATTCGGTTGCGGTGCCGGATTTCCAGCTGCTCCTTGGCCTTCTGGAAGCGGGCATGCTCATTATCATCTGCAGAGGTCTCGAAATACACATCAACATCATTGGTTGGCAAAGGAGTTGGGGGAACTGAAACAGAATTACAGAGAAAGTCTTCTTTGAGGACCAAGAACAATGTTAAAACTGTATCTGTGCTCTGGAAGAAAATCGAGCTCAGGACCTGCAAAAGTGACTCAATTTGTCTTGTATCATGCTAAAAGTGCAAGGTGCTGCTGTCTGCCAAGACTCCACTCTGTTAGATCACAGCAGACAATTTTCCTTACATAATATTCATCAACCATGCCAGTCCATGCTAATATAACAATTTATTGGTAGGTCAACCACCTGTTATCTTCCGCACTAGTGAGACATCTACCGCTTCTTCTGTATCTTCCCTACAGTTCTTGAAACCATAAAATGTGAAAAAATACCCATCTTATTGCTGGTCACTAAAACATCAGATCGGAGACAAGGGCTGAAACCAGACCCAGTACAGGCACTTCCACAAAATTCTCCATTTCTTAGGAGCTCTTTTACCTGCCTGTTTCAAAGCCATAACTTACTTTGGGAAACTGGTTCAATTTAATGTTCTTTGCTTACAGGCTGGGTGGAGAAATTCCAAACCACTCTAGCTAGTTTTCAGTGTCAATGAAAGACTCTTCATCCCACCTTCAGTAAAAAGGATCAAACTAAAGTGCTCTATTTTACAAGAACAACTTAACACTGTGTGATGGTGCTCTGTCCTTTCAATCCATTACACTAACTGACCTTCCCAGGCCATTAACAGAGAACAAAATCCATGAAAATAAACTCTCCCCACTGCTCATCACACATAAATTATTACTGGCCCCAGGCAAATGAATATCTCTGTACAGTGGAGCTTAACATCCTGAACAAAAGGATTGAAATGACAAATTTACTTAGTCAATCTCTCAAGAAATACCTTTGGAAACTCTTTTTAGCTCAACTCATTTAAGATTTCCCAAGTTGGAGGAATGACATGTAACTTGCTTGCATAAATTACTACATCTTGACATAACTTCAGAGTTAAGTAGAAAACTGATGTCAAAATCCAGCTAATTTTTATTCAGAAACAAATTCACTTATTTCTAGAATTGCATAAATTTAATACAACATTAAAACAAGTGTATAACTGACAAATATAACTCTAAATTAGTAAGCTACTCCAAAATTTTGGTGAGAGCCTCTTATTTGTTGTTCAGTGCTGTCAAGTTGGTTCCAACTCATAGCAACCCTATGTACAACAGACCAGAAACACTGTCTCCTCCTTTTATTTATCTCTCTTTTATTATATTAACCTAAAAGGTTCAACTCTTATGCATGCGAAAGCTAGACAATGAATAAGGGAGACTGAAAAAAAATCAACACATTTGAATTCTGGTGTTGGCAACAAATACTGAATTTATCATGAACTGCCAGAAGAATGAACAAACCTATCTTGGAAGAAGTACCACCAGAATGTTCCTTACAAGCATGGATGATGAAACTTGGTCTTGTGTACTTTGGACATATTACCAGGAGTGACAAGTCCCTGGAGAAGGACATAATGCTTGTAAAATAGAGGGTCAATGAAAAGAAGGAAGATCCCCAATGAGATGAATTGACACAGTAGCTGCATCAATGGGCTCAAGCGTGGCAGTGATTGTGAGAATGGTGGAGAACTGAGCTGTGTTTTGTTCTGTTGTACACAGGATCACTATGAGTCAAAACCAAATAGATAGCACCTAACAACAACGTAAGGTAAATCTGTGAGGAACATTTGACTCCTCAGAAGAAGACTGGGCAATCTACTTCAGAAACCAAAGGAGAGGGGTTGCTATGAATCAAATCAACTCAAAGGCAGTGAGTTTTTTTTTTTTTTTTTAGATGTAAATTTACATAGGGTCTCAATACCCAACTTTCAGATAAATTAAATTAGAATATACTACTTAGCAAACCACATTCCCAGGATTGTCAAAAAGTTAAATGAAGGAAAATTTCAAAGCACTGAATCCTAAGGCATTTGACTGCTAACCAGAAGACTGACGGTTCAAACCCACCAGCCACTCCTCAGAAGGAAGGCTGGACAATCTACTTCTGTAGTGATACTGCCTCAGAAACCTAAAGAGGGATTGCTATGAGTCAGGTTTGACTTGAAGGCAGCGAGTTTGGTTTTGGTTTGGAATCCCACTAGTGTCGATACTTAGTTGCCATCCAAGGCTTGTGTCCTGGAGATGGAGCCTTTGATTGACAATGGTAGGCCTGGTAAAACTGACACAGCACATAAGCTGCCATCATCTTTCTTAGAAGAAAAAAGAGGGGGCAGTATGCCTAGAGGTTTGGTTCTGCAGACAAAGTGGGGCTCAGACTTAGGGACATGTCCTTGTGTTCCTGTGAAAAGCAACCTATTCAGTCAGCACCCTTTCCCTGCCCTCTTCATGGAGGACAAACTTTACCTCTGGGAGCAGGAATGCTTCCACAGCTTCCCAGCCCTCTAGCTGGGAGCATCCACAAGTACATGAACACACTGCTTCTTTTTGGCAAATCTTTCTGAACCCTCAGTCTGTGCTAATATAGCAATTTACTGGAAACAACTTTGAGACTTCAAGACGGGTAAAGCCCTCAGTAACTGCCATTTCATCCTGTCTTACATCACTACCTATCTGACATTTTGGATAAAGAAAGTCAATAGTGAAATCTTTCAAGATTCCTGATTCCTCAGGAAGGAGCGCTGGTGGCACAGTGGTTAAAACACCTAGATGCAAAAAAAAATAAAAAATAAAAAGTTGGTGGTTTGAAACTACCAGTCATGCCACAGGAGAGAGAGGTGACAGTAAGCTTCCATAAAGATCACAGCCTTGGAAACCCTATGGGGAAGTTCAACTCTTTCTTACAGGGTTGCTATGAGTCCCAATCAACTCTCCATAGCAGTGGCTTTGGTTTTGGGTTTGATTCAACCTAAAACATTATTTTGTTGTCTCTTAGTTTGAGTAGTTTTACAAAGTAGTAAATATCATTATCATAAGTGTTTCTATCTTTAAGTATTTCCTGAATAAACCAAGTTTCTCCCACCAAAGTTCTCTATGGAGACGTCTCATATTTTATTTCAACTTCTCAACCATACTAAATAAAAATGGCCTTTCCATAGATCAGCAGCTAAGTGTTAAAATTATACCATCTTAAGATTTAAAATATCTTTTGGCAGAGCAAGGAAAATGGAAACACGAAGGTATCTGATCGAAAAGCCATCAGCCTGGCTACTAATGTCAACTACTCAGAAAGGGATCAAATACTGGGGACCCTGAATAGAGTGGGAGTAAAAATGTGAAACAAAACTCAAAATCATGAAAAAGACCAGGCTTACTAGTCTGATAGACTGGTAGAAACCCCCAAAACTATGGCCCTTAGACACACTTAAAATCTGCAACTGAACCCACCCCTTGTGGCTCAACTTTCAGCCAAACAACAGATAAGACTATAAGGTGAATAATCACACCAGGTAGGTACAATCCTTAGAACAATCAACTATGGGGAAATCAAAAGGGCAGCATTTACACAGGGAGATAGCTCAGAGGGCAGGAATGCGTAGGAAAGAAGGGCACAGGAGAAGGTAACTCACAGGGAGGAAGTGGGATGAGATCTATTACATTAGGGGGATTGCAATCAATGTCATGAAAACAAAATGTGTATGAACTGTGAATGGAAAGCAAATTTGCTCTGTAAACTTTCACCCAAATCACAACAAAGAAAAAAAGAAAAAGAAAAGCCATCAGGAGCCACAGCCAAAACCTTTGGAGCCAATACCAAGAACAGGCAGCAACTCGTTATTCTAATGAATTCCGGAGTAGGAACCAAGACAAACCTGCCTGCCTACTCTGATGATTTTGCAAACATATGGGCTAGTAATACAAAGTAAGAGGAAGAGAAAAAGAAAAGGGTGTAACTAAGAGAACAGAAAGCTACCTTCCCTCCTATGTCTAATGTACACCCAATACAAATGAACCACTGAATTTCCTTTGTGAAGAAAGACTACACATATGAAAATTCCTCCACTTCTTAGAGCTTGGCATGATTAGTGATGTGCAATTATCAGAAGAAACAATGAGCTGATACCACTTGGCTGCAGAGCTATTTCCCTCACATGCATAAAGCAAGATATTTTAATGTCATGGACACTCAAAATTATCCCTGTTGTTACTTTACAGAATAGGTAGTCCTGTTAGACAGAGTGTACCCCAGGAGGTCAGCAGCAGTGGTAGTTCAGAGATGGGAATGAATAGCAAAGTCCAGAACACAAGCATGTGTAGAGCTCATGGGTGATCTGCTTACCCGTCTGTGCCTTTCAACTAGAGACAGCCGAGGGCACCTGACCAATACCAAAGGCTCTGAGGCCTGCAGACCACAGATCAGGAAAGTAACTCCTGCAGCACCAGGGAGAGAACACAACCATACCACCACCAGCCAGACACACAGTGCGAACAGGTACATGGAAGCTGACAAAACAGCTACCGGAAGAAGAGCCAAGCCTAGCTCTAGGAAGCACAAAGGTGAGAGAACGACTGACAGCAAACACCTGAGTCAGTAGGGACACTACATAGATGTAGTCACGAGGATGGCTTAGAGAGACAGAATGCTGGACAGGGCAGTCGCTGCTGCACAGAGCCCATGTGAGGCAGAACTTACTCATCGTTTTACACACAGCCATACAATAATCCTCAGACTCAAAATTGTTCCTGTTGCCTCCGCAGCCGCCATATATAAAGCGCACGCACTTTCCCTTGGAGAGGTCGAAGTACCAACGAGGCATCACGGCCCGGCAAGGCCCCGTCATCGCCTCCTGGGAGCAGACAGCTGTGTGAAAATGTTCAGAATGTCAGCAATGGCTTCAAATGCTACAGACCAGAAAGGGGTGGGAGGGATGGAGTGAGGAGGAGGTACCAGGGGATAGACTTAATAGAAAAGGCCAAGGTTGGGCAGAACTTGAATGTGATGGCTAAGCCACTCACCAACTCACAGTCAGCCACTTCCCATTCCAATGTGCAAAAGGACATTTAAGAATTGAAACTAAGTATTTTTTTTTTATACTGTCTTGAGTCTAGACTGGTGATAGGCTCTCTTGAGCCTCACATTTCTGATCTCTAAGTGGCAGTTATTTGCCTGATTCATCTATCTTGTGGTTCCCAGGATCAAAGGGGATATGTGGGTGGAAATGTTTTTGTAAGATGTGCCCCTCATTGCTATGAAGACTATTAAACACTTAAGGAGTTGGAAAGGACGAGTGCTATCAGTTTTTATCTCCAAGGCGAATCACAAACTTCTACACTAAGTATTTTTCCCCAAGTTGAGTCCTAAAAAATTCTTCAGACCTTAACTGGTCTCAAATATGCAATCTCCGGTAAATGGTGCTGGAACTGTCACAATCCTTTTTATTTTCTTAATAAAAACGTAAAAGCACTGTTGACTCCAATCCTTACTAGGAGGTCATAAAATTTCATCCTCCCCCCTACAAACATCTTTCTAATGAACAAACAGGGGAGCCTACAGATTGGAACACATTTAGGAAAAGAAATACCAAGGAAGGTATTTTAATCTAGAAGGCTGATACTTTAGCAGTACTGAAGAGGGGGAGTTCCCTTTGGGGAAAGAACACTTCAGGCTGATGCAGCAGAAGCATGCCAAAGGGTAGATTATGGTAGCTCTTATTCTCTAGTTTCTGTTCTCTAATTAAATCCTTACAAGGCAAACAATATTTTCTTATTCATTTGTGCCTCTCTCCCTGGATGTATCAACTGCCAGACACCCAATAGGGGCCTGCCTGCCAATGCTAAGGTGGCAAGCCCAATGCACTGGAGAGTTAAATTCACAATCAATGCACGGAAACACCATTTTTCCTTTTGTGACTTACCTGTAAGAATACAGTAACGTTCTAAGTAAGTAGCTATCATATGGATTTTAAAGCATGGCACTAGGTCGGGTTACCTTTAACATCATGGATAATTTCCTTTTCTGAAATAATCCCGTCACTGCTGGGCTCAGTTGGGTTCTCCTCATTGTAGTCATCTCCTTTAAAGGTGTCATAGTAGTAATCTCGGTCTTCTACTACTTCCTCACCCTCTTCCTCATCCTCATCAACAGCTGCTTCTGTGAAGTCTTCCAAATCTGCTTCAGTAGGAAATTCACTAAAGAGCACAATAAAAAAGGAAGGTTGATGCCAGTTCCTATGACAATGTACAACAATGATTCCCTTGCCTATTTTGAAACACAAAAACAGAGACAGGAAATAAGCCCAAGTCACATTTAACTGCCACTAAAGCCCTCAGCTCAGCTACATCAGCAAAAGGGAAGAGCTACTGAACAGAGACTGCACAACCTGCAGAAAACAATGTGGCCCAGAGAGATGTAAAGCTGAAAGCCACGTACTCCTATGATCAGCTATGGCTAGAATGAAATGCATGCTGGCTTGATGACAGCATGAACATTCCGGGAATACCCATCTCTCTCCTCCAGAAGCGAGGGACTAGCAGTAGCAGCCATCTGTATAGAAAGGCTAATAAGCAGTCAAGATGATGTCACAGGCTACAGACAGGAATTTGTACCTTTTATAAATATCATAGTCATCGTCTTCATCTTCTTCTTCCTCTTCCTCTTCTTTTGACACAGTGGATTCAATAATCTTTGTCTGAGGGCAGCACACATATTCAGTGCCATGGAACTGGTCTACCCCACAGGGCAACAGCATGCCATAACTATATAAGGTCATTCCCTGTGTCAGACATGCCTGAAAGAAATCCAGAGACCAATATGAAGACATACTCCATAGTAAATGGTTAAATACTCCTGGATCCCTAGCTTTACCTAAAAGGAACCTTTTTCAAATCACTATGTAATGCTGTCTCTTACAGACATACACAGTTTCTCCTAAAAAGTTTTGATGCTATTATTTTTAGAAGATTGACAAATTTTTCTTAACTTACAATCAAGACCACCACCACCTGGGACAAATACACTGAAAATCCAAAGTTGGATAAAACTAAGGAAAAGGAGTTTTTTCTAGTAATTATCAACACCAGTTAAAGACAGCTAACAATAATTTACATTCATCATAGGAGTAGTCATTAATTCAGAATATGACCAAAGAAAGACTATTAACTGGAAAACCAACTTAACTACAAAAGACAACAGTTAAGAAAGGATAGTTCTCTCCAGAATGAATTGACAGCTAATGTTGTCTATACATATATACATATGTCCACACACATTATTTTCCCTAACTGGCTACCTGCACACAGCTTCATGGCTTTGGATAGCTTTCTTGGGACCCCAATGACAGTACATAGCATAGCATCCTTGCTGACACAATCTGTTTTAAGAGCTTGACTGCCAACCCTAGACTTCTTGTAAGGATATCTATTTCTCCCTCAAATATTTATAATCCAGAAGGTAGATGTAAAGGCAAATCCTGAATAAATAAAGACAGGGAGGTGAATTTAAAAGTACGGTGAGACTTGGAGGAAAACGCTATTTTCTTTCCAAGCAGACACAGCAACACTTGACTATTCCCAACCCATTCTCCTACCTCTTTGACGACAGTATGCCAGTGCTGGTGGTTCTCGCAAACCTCCAACCGCTCCTTGTGGAAAAATTGGCACTTTTCTGGAACTAGTAGAACATCACTTACAAATTCACCTACTGGAAAACAGAAACTCTGTCAGAAGCAAATCTGATTGTAGACTAGAGCTGTCACAACCCTTGCTGATTACCGTGATAGCTACACAGTCAGGTGGACCCAGTGTTGTTGTTATTAGGTGCTGTTGAGTCATCTCCAACTCATAGCAACCCCATGCAAAGCAGAATGAAACACTGCTCAGTCCTGTGCCAGCTCCATGATCCTCAGGTATATAGCCCATTGTTGTACACACAGTGTCAATCCATCTTGTTGAAGGCCTTCCCCTCCTTCTCCAGGGAATGGTTCCTTGTGATAACATGACCAAAGTAGGTGAGATGAAGTCTGGCCATTCTCGCTTCCAAGGAGCATTCCAGCTGTACTTCTTCCAAGACAAGATTTGTTGGTTGTTTTAGCAGTCCATGGTGCTATTAGCATTCTTTGCCAGCACCACAACTCAAAAGCATCAACTCTTCTTCCTTATTCATTGTTCAGCTTCCATGGCTTGTGTCAGGTGCACCTTGGTCCTCGAGGAGACATCTTTGCTCTTCAACACCTGAAAGAAGTCTTTTGCAGCCAATTTGCCCAGTGCAATACATTGATATCAAGACTGCTGCTTCCATTGGCGTTGATTGTAGAATCAAGTAATATAAAGTCTTTGATAACTTCAATCTTTTCTCCATTCATCGTGATGCTGCTTACACGTCCAGTTGTGAGGATTTTTGTTTTCTTTATATTGATGTGTAATCCATGCTGCAGACTGTGTTTTTCAATCTTCATCAGTAAGTACTTTAAGTCATCCCCACTGTCAGCAAGCAAAGTTGTGTCATCAGCGTATTGCAGGTTGTCAATGATTCTTCTTCCAATCCTGATGCCACGTTCCTCTTCACACAGTTCAGCTTCTCTAATTATTTGCTCAGCATACAGACTGAATAAGTATAGTGGAAAGATACAACCCTGAGTCTCCAATCTGTATCAGCTGATGTTTCTTACACACAAAGGCCAAGTGTATGGTATAGTTCCAGGCAAGTGGCCACAAGAACTCAACATTCCCTTAGAGCCACAATGCTGAGTTTACTGGAGCTCTTCCCTGACTCCAATCCTTTACATGATGGGTGGAAGTAGAATATAATTCTTGTAATGCTACTAACCCCACCCTCCTTCCTGGCTACCTAACACACATGCAGCTACACCCCGCAGCCTCTAATATCACAAGAATAATATTCCTAGCCTCTTACCTCCTTAGTTCTGTCCACACACCTGTTGGAGTAACAAAATGCCCAGGAAACGAAGACTAGAATTCTACTGAAATGAAAATGAATCTTATTCTAGCTCTCTGCGTCCTAAAGACACCTAGTTCTAAGACAAACCACCACTGTAATAAATGATTCAGGCAAAAATCATCAGTGGTTGATTAATTACACAAAGGAAAAGGTAACTTTTAGTGTCTGCAGCTCTGGTAGACACTACCTTAACCAGGTTGTCAAGTATCACCAATAATGGACAAGCTAACATATGCCATGTCTTAAGAAGAAGGGCACTGGAGAAATCAGCACCTGAAGAGTAAGAGAAGGGGAATCTAACTAGTTTTATACAAAGCACACTACTGCAACCCTATTTATTATAATGAAATCTATAGGTGAAAGTAATATAGTTCAATTTATAAATCTTAATTTCACATTTGCAATATTTGAAAAAAGGAATTTTGACTTACTGGACCTAATGAGTCGATGAGTCCTTGAGACTATAGCCTTGAGGGCTCTTCAAACCTTGAATTGAAGTTATTCCCTGAAGTCACCTTTAAACTAAGTGTTCTGGTTATCTAGTGCTGCTCTGACAAGAATATACTACAAATGGGATGCTTGAACAAACAGGAGTTTATTCTACTACAGTTTGGAGGCTTTAACTCTTGAGTTCAAAGTGCCAGCCTCTAGGGGCTGGGTGAAAGCCCCTCAACCTTGGGCTTCATCTCTGCCTCCTGCTCCCAGCCCACAGGAGTCAGAACCTTTTAGTCACTCAGACATCTGCTGGCTACTGAGACTAACAAGCCCAAGGTTGACAAATAAAAAGGCACAGTCCTGATGTTACCAAAGCACATGGCAGGCCATTAATTCAAGTCCACAAAAAGTCCCAAGGTCAGCAGAGCATGGCAGGCTGCTGAACAAGACATGGCTACATGCAGGGTTCAAGCATGCCATAAACTAGAGACCATTCCCCAAGGCTTCTCCTTATATACAGGAAGTACCACATTCCTAAGGCTACTTAGCTGCTCGCTGTAGATTCCACCATGGAGTTGATTACCAGTCTCACTCATCATGGGGAATACTACATCCAGCTGCCCAGCCACTCAACTAGGCCCAGCCATGTTGACACACAACTTTAACTACCACATTGACAGTTTAACCCAAGGAGTAAAGACTGTCACCCTTCAGTATTGCATTACTTAAAAACAAAACAAAAAAACTATGTAACACCAAAGGGTCAACAGCTATTTTAAAGCATAGACAAGAAGGTTGAGGGGCAGAGAGATTAAGAAAATGGAAATTAAACTAGTAAAGAAATAAGCAGAACATTGACACATGTGAAGAAGTTAAGCAATGTCACTAATATGTCTAGAAACTGCAATGGGAGTGGGTTTTGCTGTGTATATTTTCATTGAAAATAAAATTCAAACAAACAAAACCCCCACCAATTTCAATGGTAGATACATAATCTATAAAAGCAACAAACAATAGTTCTATTTATACAGTGGAATTTAAATCCATTTATATAATCTTAGATAAATCCCACAATGGTGTAAAGTAAAAATAAGCTGTACAAGATCAAGTGCAATATAACATTAATGTAAGTTTTAAAACACAAAAACAAATACATATACATATATAACAAGCATATAAAAACTTTCATGAGATTGATACAAGGTAACACAGGGGTAGCAGTTACCTTCAGCAAGGAAGTAAGGATAGGACTGGCTGTATCTACAACATTTTATCACTTTATTAAAAAATAAGTAGAGATAAAGCAAACATGGCAAAACGTTGAAGAACTTAAATAAGGTTGGTAGGTACATGGATGACTGTGATAGTATATTTTATCTTTACAGTATGCTCAAAACATTACAGAATTTAAAATATAGTTTAAATCATAAATATTTTAAAAGAAAAAGGTGGTAATTCTAATAAAATAATTCCTAACTCTGTTAACTGTAAAATTAAGTGCCAATCAATCTTTATGTATTCAATGATTAAAATAAACCTGACTTTTAAAATCCAAAATAGAATTAACACTACTGAAACAGAAAATAAACTAAAATATAAGTGTACTCTTTGACTCAACAATTCTAACTCTCTCTCTATATATCCTAAGTAAATGAGCAAATGAACCATCAAAGATATTCATTACAGTATTTTTTTTAAATGAACCAATCTAAATGTCCATCGATAGGGAATTAGTTTAATAATAGTACATATATACAAGGAAATAACCATGGGGTCATAATTATATCTATATTTAACATGTACAAATTTCCATGATGGTTTATTTAAAATCAACAAACAAACAAATCCATGCTCCTTAGTCTGGCTAGCTCTTTAAGGCCAAATTTGTCTTTTAAGAATATTACAAAATCACCAAAACCAAAAACATTGCCAAGTTAAATCCCTCCACTCCACTGGGTTTCCAAAGCTGTTATCTTTACAGAAGCAGACTGTCACATCTTTCTCCCACAGGGTTGCTAGTGGGTTCAACCCACCAATCTTTTTGTTAGCAGTGGAACACTAGACCACAGAGGCTCAATAAAAGTAACATCTTTTTTTTTTTTTTTTTAAAAAGAGCATACATATGTAATATGATTCCATTATTTAGGGTAGAAAAAAATTTTGAAACCACTCACATATTCATGTTCATGCAAAAAAAAACAACAACAACAAAAAAAAAACAAACAACAACAAAAAGAATACACTAAAAATCCCAAAGTCTGGTCTACGCATTAAATGTTAATCACTGTTAACTGACTGCACAAACAGGATATGATTTTTTTTTTCCCAAAAAATTTCTTTTTTGGAAACGAAATTATTTTTTTTTAAAGTAAACTTATAAAAAACATTTCAATCCCAGCATTAGTTCTATGATCTCCTACTGTTACTTTCTGCTTTGCTACAATTATTTACCAGAAGCTTCCAGAGGAAAAAACTCAAATGAGGCAAATCAGAATTACTGTTTTACAGAAGAATATTGAAAGTGGTTTGGTCTCACTTTCAAAGTTTATATCCAATTTGTAACAATCCTCAATTTAATCCATTTGAAATACAACAGATAATGCCCACAATTTCCCAAGTCACTGGACAAATATAGAGCAAGCTGTATGTTTTTGCTATTCAGTTTAACAAGCTGATCAATGAATATGGCAATTTAGCAAATAGTAACCTGTAAGATTCCATTTTAGCTGCATTTATAATTTATCTCCAACTTGTACCTATTCCCTGAGGTTCTTTTATCTTTCATACCACTCCCCTCCATGAATGCCACGGCAGGCATCCAGGTTTTAGAACTTTTGCAACGTTGCTGAAATTCTACTTGCATAAATAAATCTACTGCAATGTACTCTCGAGGTGCAAATAGTAAAACCATGCAGTTTATAGGGCTCCTGGAAGCTGTAACCAGTAGGAGAAAACAGCCTATGTAATAAGAGTAAAACAAAAGTAAATCCAACACAAGCAGCTTTGGTGAGGTCTAATAGTCAGCCCTAGTGGATGTCTCTGAGGTAAAGAGGGCTCTGAGAATAAGGATGTAGAATAACCCTTATTAGCAGAAATATTTACCTTGCACAAGGGTCCATAATGAGAATCAGGTGATTATTTATGTACTAGAGTGAATTCAAAGGAACTCTGGTAGTGTAGTACCTAAGGCATTTGACTGCTAACCAAGAGGCTGGCAGTTCAAAGCTACCAGCTACTCTGTGGAAGAAAGACTGGGCAATCTACTTCTGTAAACCCAAAGCAGGTCGCTGTGAGTTGCAATCGACTTG